AATAATAATGGAAAAGGTGGGCTATGCCTGAGCTCGGAAAGAGAAAAAAGAAAAGAGGGAGGAATGAAAAATGTGGGTTGGGCTTGGACTGGGAAAAGAGGAAAAAAGAACAAAGGGAGAAAACTTAGGCAAGTGGGCTCAACTGTGAAGTTAGCCTTTTAATGTTTATTTTTCTTAGCGGGCCAATTCGACTAGTCCGCGACCCATGGCAGGGGTGGGCTGGATGGCCATTTAAAGGTCTGCTAGGATGGCAAGCTGGCCTGGCCAGCCCTGCCCCGCCAAACAACTGGTTTTGGCGGGCTGTGGGCTGGCCCGTCCCGTCGGCCTATTTTGACATGCCTATTGGTCCTTGGCAATTGGACTGTGAGCTGGATATGGATGGTCTGCACAAATATTGTGTTTAAGCTTAGCCTCTATAATTTTTGTTTAAAAATTATTTCCAACTTTCTGTCCCAAATTAAAACTCAAGTTGAGTTGGGTGTAGAACGAACCCTGTGTGAGCTTCATTAGGTTCATTGAACCTGGACATGTTTGACTCTTCCCGACATTGGTGGTTATCAGGTGGAGTGAGTGGTGTGTTAAAACCTGAAAACAACAGGCTTAACATTGATCATTTAATGCCAATTACAAAAACTATTCAACTGGCTATTGCTTATCTTAGGTGGTAGTTGAATGTTGTTCACCCCTACCTAGGTTGGAACTCTATATTCTCTATTAATAAGGGTTCATAGGCTGTAAAAATACAATGATCATATCATTTGCATCCTTACTCTTTATAACGGCTCATGCATCATAAAATAAAATTGTGTTCAATTATCGACCCTAATCTTGTTCGTTAGAGCTTTGAAGTCAGTTGTGTTATAGCATATGAGACGTTTGTCGTTGTATCTTTGGGAAAAATATGCACAAACCTGTCCGCACTATATGTGACATATTTTTCTTGCAGAAATACCTTATATCATATTGGCATTTCTCTTCTGCATCAAATTATAATTTTTTTTAGTTTATATTTTACATTGTAAGAATTAATAATATTAACTTTGATGTGTCGGACCAAGGATCTACCTAAATTGGTGACTGAAACCTCTGACCGTCCAAGTATAGATGATAACCTGCAAAACAAGAGTCGGTAGGAGCTCCCAAACACTCTGACGCTCAAGTCAGTAATCGAAAAGAAGATTAATATGGTAAATAATGTCTGGAATATTGAGAGGTCAGAGAGAGCATTACAGTTGTACCTTATCCTTTTATATAGGGTGGATGGCATGGTGCCAAAGACTTCATGCTCCCTAGAGTTGTCCACCTACCCGAGGTCATCCTTATCTAATTGTGTTCATCCCTATCTGATTGAGTTTACACTATTGGGTTCACACTACTCTTTACCCGGTCGGGACTTATTATACTAGAACAGTAGGTCATATGAGTTTGTTAGCTCGCATATGTTCGTTCTATTCCATTAGGTCATCTTAAGTATGACCGAGCTAGATAACTCGATCAGTTTTCCAAGATGGACACACATGTTTTCATGTGATCCAGCTGAATATCTCGGTCCATACCTGCAGGTCCATTATCGTTAAGGCCATACGACTTGAATTTAGTTTGAACCGGCCGAACTGTTTGGTATCTTATGTTGATCTCAGTTCAGCCGAGTTGGGAGCTATATCAAACTTCATATCGAGAATATTTTCATTGTATTGACACTTACTTTGTACTACTCTCGTTCACCCTAAAATGAATTTAAGATTTTTTTAAGTTTTTGACTTATGAAAGATGGAATTTTAAGTGGAACAAAATTAATTTTACTTGCAATTGAATTATTTACCCTCACTAATAACAATGTGCGTTGGACGTATAATGAAGGTTTCTATAGAGGTTGAGTCTTTTATTTTTTTTCCAAATAATAATTATATTAAAAATTGAAAACTCAAAAGAGTACAATCGAGGTGTTAACTGACACTAGATAAACAATAACAAAGTTTGGACCTACCCCCTTGAAATTACACAGGTAACAACGGGGGTACAAACTCCATAAAGGAGACACAAGCACCTGCAAAACAAAAGCTCCATAAAAGGAGAGACAAACTCCATATAAGAGACTAAAAGCCATAGGCAGTTGGACTAACAAAACGCATAATAGAAAATGAACACAAAACAACACAGATCTAAAAAACAGATAGAATAAGACTCCCCCTAAATTTTGGAGGCAAAACGCACTACCACCCAATCCGACACCAGAGCCAACCACGCAGCACAGAATCCTAACAAAACTACAAACCAAAACTACAGACCCAAAAACTGCGATCAAACTCGATTTGCCTATACAGATCTGGCAAGTAGGAGATTCTCAGTCCATACCTGAACTCCAAAGATCTTCAACGCCGAAGGTGAGAGCCGCCAAGAAGAACAACTTCGGCGGGACGAACCGCCACCGCCAAGGCCAAAGAAGAGCACACAGCCGCCGAGAGATCCCGCCTCCCCAAACGAAATCGTCGTTGGTCTAAAATTAAAGAATTGTAGAGTCTAAACTCCGCCTAAAATCTTAACCCTAACACCATGGAAATTGAACGTCCTCGTAAATTAATGAACAAAGGCTTGAATTGCGACTGAACGAGTAGAACGAGGAGAAAGGAAAAAGCACACGACAACCCCAACCCTTGCCCACTAGAGGGTGGCGCGGCGAGTGCGGCGACTAATGACACTCCCCACACGGCTAAAATTGGGGCGAGGAACCGAGACAGATGAAAGAGGTTGAATCAAACACCACAAATAAGAGTGTAGTTTTACTTACGGATAAGTAATTATTTATCATAAAACCACAATCAATTGCAAAATATACATATTATCTATGGCTTTTAATTGTAAATGAAACTAGTCAATCATATCATGACAACTCATAACCCGCGCAAAAATTGTTTGCAGCTTTGTTGGAAAGTAACATGTATTTGCGCGGCATTTCCCATCGAGAGCTAAGCATAGTTTAATTAGTTAACTACTAAATGTTTATTCTCTCTTTCCCCATTACATTATGTGCCATTTGTTTATAATCATGAATCATGATACAACTGTTATGTATGTGTCATGGGGCCAAACAGAATACATTGTTCGAAGCTTGTTTGAACTTATTCCATTGTTGAGGGGTTTGTTAGAATTAATTCAACTAAATGTTTGTTAGGGTATTAATCAACTGCACATGGTAAGCTTGACCTGTACTTTCTGTAATTTAAATTAATTAATTAACTTAAACATAGTGTTCATTAAAATCTATTATAGATAATACATAATAGTAAGATTTAGACATATAACCCACCCACCCTCGAAAGCGACTTTAACCAATTTACACTATTTTTCATTGTTTTTTTCCCAAGCATTTTGTTGGAATTTGTTAAACTACCTAAAGAAAAATAGTAGGAAATTAATGAAAAAGCAAAGCCTAAAAATAAAACAAGGGACACCGCACCACATCAAAAAGTCCAAAAAAGCTGTGTAGTCCTAGAGAAAGTCTACTACAGCTCATTCCAGAGTATTCTTTCTTTTCCCAATTGTTCCATTTACTATTTCGTATTATTTATTTTTTATTGTATACTTCACTTTTCAATATTGTTTAATAGGGGTCTTACATTCGATGTTGTATTTTAGTTACATCCCAACTTTTTCTTCGTTTCAAATTTAATTCCAACCTTCCAATTCTAATAAGAAAAGACACAAATTTAAAGCCCATGCCTGTTATTAACAAAACTAAAAGATTTGAAATAAATAAAAATAAATAGAAGTTATGATTTAATCTGCAATTTAGCAATTGTTAAAATAAAAAAGACACGGTGTTTTGTCGTGTAGAATATAATAAAGTGTTAGTAAAAGTAGCTCTACCTCTAAGCTAGATAATTAACATTGTGTGCTTTTCTTATAAATTTAGGATTTATCAAATAAGAAAAATTAATATCTTAGGACATGCTTGTTTATGAAATAATTTGCTCGGAATGAGTTATTTTGATTAATTAGTGTTAAATTTAAAAAATGTGGTACAGTTAGTTGTTAGTGGGATTATAATAATATATTAACATAATATTTAAAATAAAATAATTATTATTGATTTATATTTTGATTAATTAGTGTTAAATTTAAAAAATGTGGTACAGTTAGTTGTTAGTGGGATTATAATAATATATTAACATAATATTTAAAATAAAATAATTATTATTGATTTAATGTAAAAGTAGAAGATAAATGATTAAAAATGATAGGTAGTTAAAATTATATGAGTAAATGAATAGTGAATTAAAATTGATTTGATATGTAAGAATGATTAGTGTATAATATTTAATTATATAAATAATATTAAAAATAGAGATGTTAGAGTTGAAATAAATGTGAGCAAATTATTTCATAAACAAGTATGTCCTTGTGTATTCTATATTAATTTATTTTCAAGATACTTATTATGCAAATTATTAATTCAACTCTCTCGATTGGCAAACAAAAAAAAAATAAAAATAAAAAATTCAACTTTCTCTTTCTCTCACTTTATATATATCTTCAATTTCCAAGCCCTTTAGCTCATCTTTCACAAATTCTATCAGAATCCAAAATATTTTGAAAATCCCATTTTCTCTCACTACCTCATAAGTCTCTATCTACAAAATATGGCCGGACTGAAGCTTCTCCTCCTCCTAGCCCTGGTCGCCACCACCTGTACGGCGCAAGCACCGTCCCGAGCTCCGACGGTGTCCCCCGCTGCCACGCCGGCGCCTGTCCCGTTGGCGCCGCCCACCGCCACCCCATCTCCCTCGCCGGCTCCGCCCACCGCCGCTCCGACCCCGGCCCCCGTCGCCTCTCCCACCTCGTCGCCGCCTGCCGGAGTTCCCGCCGCCGCGCCAGGCGCCGGCGCCGCCAGTCCCGGAGCCGCGGGTCCCGGAGCTGCGGGTCCCGGAGCCGCCACACCGTCTGAACAGCCTCCGTCCGACGGATCGAACGATGGGTTCGTGAGTAGGGCCGCCGTTGGCGGCACCGCCTTCGCGGCGGCGATCGTTGCGGTGGCGTTGATTTAGGGTGTCCACGTGGTTTGCGATGTTGATGTACTTTATGTAATGGACGGTTGAGATTTGTCTATTTTGCTTTTTTTAATTATTTTTTTTTGGTATATTTGTATCATGGATTGTTTATTTAATTCCTTTTCCGGTTTCCTTTTCTTTGTTTGTAGACTGTGATTATTTGTTTCATTATTTAATGTGTTTTTATTTGTTTTTCTTTATTTTCTTGTTACATAACATGGCGATGGCTTGAATCGAGAATATTGGAGAGTCTCATGTGACATGTAGAAGTCCAGCTGTCAATGAATTTGGTGCTTATTGCTTTTTATTTGTAGTTGATGACAACTGTGTGAGAGAACTAAATTAGTACCATGATATATCATATATATGATTAAAAAAAATAGTAAAGCTAAAAAACGTTTTATATATCAACTTGGATGCACTATTTTTTTTGGGCAACTTCTCTTAAAATCCCTAATTCCATTTTCAATCTCTAGGTGTTTTTTTCTTCCTTTGAACTTTCTACCCCATAATCATGTTCTACTTAAATTCCTAGTGTTAAATTAAATAAAAAAGAAAACAAGTTATGACATCATCCCCACTACAATGTAATATTATATATTATTTTACTATACATTTTTCTTTTCTTATATCTACATTTTCCTTTTTCCTTTATTTTATTTTGTTGAAGCTTCTTCCCCACACATCTCTCCTCTCTCCCGGCCCCCTCCATTCTCGTCGGCGATTTCTCTTCTTTCCTTTTTTTTTGCAGGTCGGTCTCTCCGGCGACCCAAATTCGGCGAGAAGAACTCCGGCAACAACAAATTCGGCCAAATAAGTGATTCCGACGTCAAATTTTTGCGGCCAAAAATTCATTTTTTCCGACAACATTCGTGCTTTTTCCGGCCAAAATTTGAAATAGTAAGTAATATATGTATTATATGAGCATTTTGGAGTCCAAAAATCATGTTTAATTCGTATATATTTGGTTAATTTGTTAAGGATTGAAGTTTGAAAATTGTTGTTCATATTTACCCTAAATAATTAAATTGATCAAAATCTCTTATTTCTTGTTTATGTATACGAAATTGATGCTATTGTTAGGTTATATAATGTGTTATTCACCCTAAAACAAGAAATAAGGTGGGAATGATCACTGTACCACTACTATTGATTATTGTACCTCTGTTTGTATGTATATAGTACCACTTTAATACTGTTTTGTACCATATTTTCCTGAGAAATGTGAAGTTTTTTTTTAGTTATCCAATTATTGTTAGATACATGGAAGGGACATAAAGTGATATACTAGAGAATTGTACGTACAAGAATGAATTATTTGTGTTCTCTATGCACATTGGATCAACGTTTGACGAAGTGTACACTCTCATATCAAAGAGGTGACTGAACGTTAATTTCGAATCTGTCGTGCTACGCTATATCGCGCCAAAGGAAAAAAAGAGAGTTAATTTATTGGATGATGAGGATGTGAAGAACATGATTCGGTTACATGTTTGTTGAAAAATAAATATTGTAGAGATAATTGCCATTGAGAGAAATGAAAGACCGGATGATGGAGTTCAATCCTTCCCGATGAACATGAGCAGGTAATGTTGTTTTCATAATATTAATGAATTTATTATTTAAATATGGTATAGTCGTATTATATCCTAGTTCATTAATTTTTTAACTAGTTCCCTTATTTATAAATCTTTGTATTATTTTCTCATGAACGCAGTGAAATCGCACCGTATGATGATTCTCGGAGGGAGAACATGAGTAGTTGCAAGATAAATCGATCGATTCTTGTAGATTTTGGCATGTGTCGTTTTGAGTCAGTTGTTTTTTTTTCTTTTCCCCGAATATGTTTTTTGATGATACATTATTGGCATATTCCGAGTATGTACTGTATGAATATTTTGCGAGATTTATAAAAACTTAGACTTAAGATTAATTTTTGAATTAACATTTGTATTGGGAATTTCACCAATTTAATTTGGTGCTTAAAATATTAAATATTAAATGTGAGAGTGATTTTTGGTCATATAAACATCATTTGAGACCGAAATTCAGTGTTTTTATATGTTCGTTACAAGTGGTACTAAAGACCTGATATCTGGTACTAAAACAACTAAAGCTGGTACTATTCTATTTTAGGTCTGGTACCAATTATTGCATATGTTGGCCACAATTGAATAATCTATTTTCGTTGACCAAAAGTTGGTACTAATTGATCAAAAACAGGTACCACGTAGAAGATGATGCGATACTATATTAGCTAAAACAGGTACTATTTTAAGAATCGTGATTTCTCTAATCCTTCATGTCTACCATGACACGTGGATTGTTCACGCCTGATTTGGATGAAAAATAGTGGAAGTTAAAACATACAGGTAGAATTTAGAATAGTCATGTATGATGATTCTATGAGATGAAGTGTGTCATTTAATGAAATGAAGTGTATTAATAGTGTTTTCTCATTAGTGTGTCGAGTTCATGACCATTTTACGATAAACTCAATTTAAAACATTTTAAATCTCATGGAAAATACTGTGAGAGTGATTATTGGTCATATAAACATCATTTGAGACTGAAATTCGGTGTTTTTATGTGATCATTACAATTGGTACTAAAGACCCGATATCCGGTACTAAAACATCGAAAGATGGTACTATCATACTCTAAGTTGGGTACCAATTATTGCAAATGCTGACCACAATTGAATAATACATTTTCGCTGACAACATATAGGTAGAATTTGAAGTAATCCATTTTTTGTTCTTTCTAACAAAGAACAAAAAATGGATTACTTCAATTTTGGTCAACATTTGCAAAATTAGTACCAGACCTAGAGTAAGATAGTACCGATATTATGGTGTTCGAGTACCAGATATCAGGTCTTCAGTACCAACTCCGACGACCATAGAAAAAAAAAATGAATTTTGTAAAATAGTACCGATTTTACCACAAATAATAAAGTGTCTTCTTCTATGCAGTACTAGTTATTGATCAATTAGTACCTACTTTGTAGAAAGAACAAAAAATGGATTACTTCAAATTTGATCAATATTTTCAAAATTAGGCGTCGCGCCTCCGCCTCAATCTCCCCCCTCTACCGCGACTTTAGAAATTCTTCTTCGCATGCCTTTCCTTTGTTTTCTATTCCACAAACTCCACTATATATATACATCCCCTTTTCATTTCTTAATCTCAAACCCAGTAAACAAATTAAANAAACCAACAAACAAATACTCGATTTCACTCAGATTTCTATGAAAAATGGTGAATTTCTATAATGCTCACGTGACATTTGAACACAACCCGAGATAGGCAATTAGGAATCACAATTACTTGATACGAGTATTCATTAGAGACAGTATTTCTACCATAATTCTCAAGACTCAACCATAATTTTGCCATCAGGTCTCAGTTTGAATCTAATAATATTTATTTGCAGTTCACAATTCTAATAATATTTATTTGAGTTATGAATGATTCTAAATAGAAGACATACTAGAATAGACAGTTCGTATTTAGCAATCAATCAAAAGAGATATTCAACTGAATACAATCGAAATTAATCCAACTAATCAGCACCTCAAACATCAAAGTGCCAATAAAATGACTTAACAAAACATTTCTGAACATAACCAACAACCCAAAACCCACAAATACTTCATAGAACATTCAGAAATATAATGACAAACCCAATGCCGCAAGAATAAAGAGTATAGATAGCAATCCGAATAATCACAGACTAACCATAAACATTTGGGAAAAAACAGCTAACCACAATCATACGCAGGACTTGAAGAATAATAGCCAGAAAATGAAAATTAGCAATATAGGACACACATTTCAATTTATTTTATTCTCTGCTTGTGCAGATAACCATCTTCAACTACAAGAAAAGGGGAAAAAGCCAATAACAATACCAATTTTGGAGCTCCAACACGAAAGTTCTTTCACCATACCTGTAAACAATCATTTGTGCCCAATAACAAAGCTAACCTTTAAACTACTGGACCTTAAACTTTAATCATTTTGTGCCCAATAACAAAGCTTCACCTCCCGGAGCTCCGTTGGATATGGTCCGTTGCCGAATTCCCTTCCTGGAAAAGCGAGCCGATCCTCCGCTCACCTTCCGTCTAATATCCCCCGTCCTATCCGATCTTTATCCGTACTCCAACCTCCGCGAGTGGCGGCGCCAGCTGGGGTCCCTGGCCGCGGCCGAGGTCGACATCGTCGCCGTCATGTTCTCTGTCGTCCTATCCAATCTCCGCCCGTACTCTAGCCGCCCGCCTCAATCTCCGCCGCTTTCTTCGATTTTTGTGAAAAATTCGCACCATAGGCCATCAAACCAACTGCAATCATCTTCAATCGAACTGTAATTTAAGGTAAAACAAGTAATTGAAAGAAAATAAACAAAGGTAAAACAAGCAATTGAAAGAAAATAAACAAGTATGAGTTGAGATTGATTTTTCGAGGATTTGGGGTTTTGGAGACGATGACCTTTTTTATTCGACTTTTTCTACTTTTTGAACGAAATTACATAATTTATCTGCTTCATCAACACAGTAATTTCAGACAATGCCCAAATTCTTAAAGAACCCTAATTCAAAAATATACCAAAATAAAAAAAAAAAAATTATGAACCTTAGACATGCAAAGAGCCCTAAATTATCAATAAATTTCGTAATTTGTGAAATATAAGTCAAATACGAAGTTCATTAGCATCAATCAAATCCCAAATTTTGAAAAATTTCGAATTCAAAGAAAAAAAAACTTAAATAAATAAAATAAATAAACAAACTCCTTCAGTTCAAATGATCCTCGATTGAATTCAATCTCCTCAGCAAACTCTGACCCGCATGAATGCCCCCAGCAGCAAGAAAATATGTTTGATCTCCTCCCGTTCACTTCACGAATGAAAACTCCCAGATGATGAAAATTACTTTCCTTCCTGCTGTAACTCCTCAAAGACAAAATAATAGATAAAAGAGTCCCACAAAATTAGTTCTCCTCAATTAATTCTTCTCCAAGCATAAGGCTCCCAAGGAAAATAACCCCGTCCCCAAATTGATTCACTTGCCAAGTAATTAAAATCAAAATTTTGAAGAAAAAAACCCAAAATTGAAATTCTAAAAATCTTACCTTGTTTAAGAGACGAACATTGACGGAAAAAGAGATGTAGAGAGACGAACGACGGCGAAAAAAGAGAGAGAGACGAAGGCAATAGAAATTTACAGAGAGAGGTGGAGATGGAAATTGAGAGAGAGAGACGGCAACAAGAGAGAGAAAGTTGCATTTTTTTATGATTTTTCAGTAAAAATAAACGAATAATAATAAGAGTAGTATATATATGGGGAGTGATTTGGAAAGAGAAATTAACTTTAGGGAGTGATAAGGAAGTTTAAAAGTGATGGAGACTGACAAGAAAGTTGAAATGTGAGTTAGGGATTTATAAGGAATTACCCGCTATTTTTTTTGCATCATGTAAAAAGAGAAGAAAACGAATCAATTACGTCAATCAACTCATGACCTTTAATTGTTATTGAAAGAATTTGATAAAGGTAATAAATGCGTGCGTATGGCATTCTTTTATTTTATTTTTTCCAAATGATAGAATTTATAGTTCAAAACGAACAACCACAGAGTTGAAGGAGAACACTACAACCTAGTGTCCTAAACTATCTACCAAACCACATGCTCGTGGAATCTTCATGCCCAAGATAATGACCAAGCATATGAGCCTGGGCTAGAAGTTCCTTTCGCAGCAAAAAAGTTCAAAACCACTGGACAATACCCTAGTTTAAACCTTCAAAAGAATGAGTTTACGCTTTTGAAAGCTCCATTAATGAAAAATCTCTTTTCTCGTATTTTCCCCCAAATCGTAGAACAAAGAAACCCCTTCCATCGACGTGCCTTCCTCCCTTTCCTCCGGCTGCCGTGTCGGAGATGCCCTCCTCCGGGGTGTCGGGCGGCTTCCGTTGAGGATCCTTCCCCAAATTTTCCCGGCGTGCTGTTTTCTTGGGAGGGTTGGGGTTTCGTCTTTTGAGCGTTGCGTCGGCCGATTTTGTCTTTTGGGGTGGAGCGTTCTGCCATCTACCCCCGTGACCCTCCTGTCTCTGCTGTTAACTTGGGTCGTGGGGTGTGTTCTCGTGTCTGGTCCCGATTGTTCAGTTGGTTTGGGTGGTTTGTGGTATGGGTCTCGGTTATCCGTTGGGACGTGGTTCAGGTCTGTTGGCGTCTGACCCAGTTAGGTGATTTGTTGGAAAATTTCTGGTTTGGATTCCTGGGCCTTAGCTTTGTCCGTTTGGATGGGTGTCCATTAGCGTCGCCGTTGGTCGACTTCTTTGGTTGTTGGCTGCGGAGGACTGGTGTAGTTGTTGGTTTTTATTTTAGGTGTTGGTTGTTGTATTTGTGTGTAGGTTGTGTTTTATTTTTCTTTCTCTCCTGTTTGGAATGCGTTTTGTGTACTCCTGTTGGGAGCTTTTTGTTATTCTCCTGTTGGGAGCGGTAGCTGTTTAGTTTCTTGTGATGTGGGTGAGTTAGCATAGTTGCTTCTAGGCTACCTCCGAGTAGGCATCTTGGATTCAGCTGTTTGACTATTCTAGCTGATTTCTAGCTGTAATTATGTGGTTTTAGTTTTTATAAAATTTCTATCGTTTCGAAAAAAAAAAAAAACCTTCAAAGGAACAAAAACCTCATAAATCAACCAGAGAAACCTATGCAAAATTTCATTGCTTCTGTCTTTCTTGCAACTCCATGTATGGCCAAAACTCCTAGGCGATTTTTCATTTCTCTACGATCTTTGGCGATTCTCCGATTTTAATCCTCATTATCTCTCTGCCAACTTTATTGCAATGGGTATGCAATAAAACCTCTATTTCACTTATATATATCAATTACACATTTCAATTATGCATTTGAATAAAACATGAACCTTCGTTGCATCTTGTTCATCCCTAATCATCTTGCATCTCTCACCATGTCTAATTCGACTTAATTGGGCCACTCTATTTCCACAAAAATGTGTTGTTAATATTGGGAAGATATTTCTAGCTACTAAAAGAGTACTTACGGACATGGAGCTCGGTGAGATCACTTTCTGAACTAATGACGAGTGCCAAACTTTGACACTTGATAGAGGATGGAAAAACCAAGAGATGGACGATAGCTAGGGTTGTAATGCGGTGCAAGTGGTGTTCGAACGCTTATTAAATGACCCATTTTAAGAGCTTGAAAGAGTTCTAGTTCAATACATTAAGTGGCTATTGGGAGGCAACCCATTGCTTGTTGCATTATGTTTATTTTTCTTTTATTATTTATTTATAAAAATTGGAAAAAGTAAAAAAGAGACTAAAAATAAAATAAAAAATAAATAATAAAAACTAGTGGTAATCAAATGATTCCAGCGAAGCACGAACGAGATGGTTATGCTAAATGGTGCAAGAATTGCTTACAGATGAACTCGCTCGATTATTCAGTTAGTTACTTATGGTGTATCAATTATTTTGGTCAAACTTAATTCTTTCCTAAAGAAAAAGTTTGAGGTAGTATATCTTAGTTTTTTATGGTTTTCGTATATTACATATAACAGTATGCATTAATTATGATGTACATTTATTTTCATTTTTAGGTTATAGTAATAATTTGCATGAGTCGGGATAAGTTTCTCTTGTTTGTATTGTACTTGAGATGATTTGTGGATAAAAAAATAATTGTTTAGCGTTGCTAACATTGATTGAGATATTGTGATAGATGGACTTTATGCCTTGATGAATTACTTGTTTTCTTTGAATGAATGATTTATTTGTCTTGGAGAGATTTGAGGTTTCTTCTTTTATTTCTTGTGTGACGATTAATTAGACGCTCACGATAATAGAACTTGTTTTTTTGTCTTTTCTTGAAAAATATGATCATGCACATGAAATTTTGAAAATAAATTACAAATTTTTGTTATCTAGGCCTTTTATCTTTTTTATTTTTCCACAAATTTTATTCTTTGTAGCCCATTTTAGCTACTAAGGATATATAATTTTGTATACGAAAATGTCTTCGTTGTAGCAGTTTTTTATCCATTTTAATTAATTTCATTGAGCGTGATAGACTTTTATTTGGAGTTTTTATAAGCCCAATTTACATGCTACTTTATGCCAGGGTCCACTTTTAAATAAAAGCACGGCCATTATCAGCCCACTTCGAATTTGTAGACCAGACTATAACCCAATATCAGTTCAATTGAGTGATCTAACTTAGGGAGACGACATTAGGGAGCGGTATTAGAAGAGTTTAGGACACTTTTCGAGGCCACAAACATACACACGACGACCAAAGAAGCTGGGGAAGAAGAGATTGAAGAGCCGAATTTAGAAATTTTAATATATTAAAATTTAGTTCATGGGTCAAATTTTTAATTTATTAAAACTTTAATAATTGCACATTAATTTTAAGTAAATTGCACATTAATGTTAGTATATTGCATAATATTGTGTGTATGCACATTAAAAATGTTCGTACTGCATAATGCATAATACTGTTAGACATATGCACATTAATGACTGTCAGAATGCACAATAGTTATCGAAACCAACTAAACTAAAATTTTTGGTTCAACTTTTCATATGTCGATTCGCATATCTTTTTTTACTTTTTAAATTCGATGTCGACTTTATTTTTTAAAATAACTGAACCCACCCTAATATATAAAAATATTATAATATAACACACCATCGCTTCGGTGGTCCTATTGGCAAAAAAAGACGTCAACAACTATTACTATTTAATCATAAAGTCACACTAAATGATATATGAAACTATGTACCTATAAAAATTTCTATTCTAAAACTTTTTATTCAACCTTATTTATTTAAAACTATTATTATCTATTTTTTCCAGCACATTATTTTTTCATAACATAACCAAACCTCTTAAAATTATGTAAACAATTGTTATAATAATTTTAATAATTTTTTTACATAATATTAGTCATAATCACTCAATGTTGCAACAATTACATTGTTGCAATTAATATAGTGACCCATCTGTGAATTAAATAATTTATATTTATATAATTTATTTTATCTATTGATAAAATTTATAACTTTTATATACACATTATCTAACTTGTGTTTTTCATTATTATATACATACATGTATAACTTATAAAATTTTATTTGTATTTATATATGAATACATGATCGAGTACTAATTATTATTATACGATAAAAGTTTAATTGTCATTTATTTTCACATGGAACATGCTATGTTTGGTGTGATTTAGTATGTATATATATTCTAGGACTTTTAAATTTTTTAATATATCTATATAGATTAAACATTTATAAAACATATTCAATTTATACTCATTCTTATAATTATTACAATTATTGTTTAGCTCTATTTACTAATTAATTTTAACTACATCATATTTTGTAAGTACCCTTTCAACAATGTTTTATAATATTATTTTTTGTGTTCGATCTTACACAATTAAATAATGAAAGAGTAAAGTTGGAATAGAAGAACATGCAACACATGCAATTCAATAGTTCAAAAGAGAATTACTAGAACTATTAATACCGCAGTAGACCATTTTTTGGATACATTATAGTTAGACAACCACACTCTTCCAACAAATATATTTACATACTTTATAGTGCAATACAAATAAAAGTATGACATTTCATAGTATAACAATGCATTTTTCGTAGGAAAATATATCTGTCCAACAATTATGCAGCCTACCACTTATAACATTTATGTTAATTTTGAAGCAATCATCAATGAGTTTTGTGAGTGTAAAGATTGTTGAGCATTTAAATTACCAAATTTAAGAAGTTATGTCTTTTGTAGTGCAACTTATTAATTATTTTATTCATTTTAAAATGCAATTTACGCCTATATATATATCTGGGTACGTGAGAGAGATATTAAAAATTATATAATTCCCGTCGAAATGTTAGTCATGCCGAGTCAAGTTGACCTCATGTGTAAGCTTGTGATAGTTTAATAAATGAGTCTGATCAACTAGACTATTTAATAAATAAACAAAAATATGAGCACAAACTCGACTTGTGTAAACTTCAATCTACTCGATTTGTTTAATAAGAAAGTAGAATAGTCGTTCTAACTTGGCTCATTCAAATATATATATATGAATGATATGAAATTAAATTTTCACGAATTTGAACAAACACAATCCAGTTCCAATAACTACTTTAGATCCTCCTAAATTTTTTTCCTAAATCCGCCCTTGATTATATATTTTTTCCAATATTTCACATGACGGTTGACAACACATATTGTGTGGCGACCACGCATAAATTTGTATACATGACAAATACGCTTACGCCACTGCTTACGCATAAACGTTTTGATAGTCATGAGCCATGACAAAGAAACTATATAGATTGCATAGATTCATGTGGACTCCAGTAACAAGAGGGCAATTATTATTAATATCCATGTCTCCATTATTACTCCCATCTTAGTTCTTAGACCGTGTATATATATTTATATATATATATATATATATATTAAATAAAATACATACACCGTGATCATCTATTCAAAATGTAAAATGCTTATATATTTGATTTTTCGTGAATTTAATTCATAGCAAAAGGAAATTAAGTCAAAGTCGTGTCAAGGCTGATTTTTTAATTGGTTATTTACGTGGCAATGTAACTTTAAATTTTTTAAATTAATGATAACCTATAGTTTTGTTTGTATTCTCTATTCACGTTGTCATATTTTAAATTTTGAATTCGTAATCAATGGATTTAAAAACTTTGCCTTCCCTTTTCAGATGAAAATTATACAAAATTAAAAGTTAGTAACTCTTCCAACTAGTTCGTTGACAAAAAAGTATTAGTAGATAACTTTATTTATTTTAGTGTGTGTCTGTTTTGGATGGAGAATCTTTATATATATTGTATGTGCACCAAAAAAAATTGAACTAATAATAAAACATAAATTCTTAGTGAGGCGGCTAACCGTTAGAAAATATGCGGTCAAGTAGTCATAATTTTAAAAAATATATATTTACATTATAAAATATTATATTTTTATTTATATTACTATTTTAGAGTGTGATGTATATAAATATATATATATATATGTACATTAAAAGATATAATTATCTAACCTAATTCTTTAACAACATAACAAAATTAGTACCACCGTATGTGCTAAATCATTTATTTATGTGTGTGGAATTGTTGATTTGAGTTGAATGGACATGGTCCAAGTTAACGGTCCAACTCGATGGGCAAAACTTGTCCTTACATAAATTGGGTAATTACTTGATCTGCCAATTTTCCAATAGTCAATAATTCGCCAATTTTCCAATAGACAATAATTCGCTAGCCCTCCAATCAGACCCGACCAAAATTACGGCACGTGTCAACTAGATTTTGGTCCTTCCCAATCAAACATGAACAAAAATTACGGCACGTGTCAACTATATTTTGGCCATTTCAATGATAAGTCCCTCGAGAAAAGGAAAAAATAAAGAAATAAAGGATATGTACTGAGATATACCAAAACCGAGTAAACACAGAGAGGTCACGGGATGTGATGAGAAACACATTCGAATAAGTTCCTCTAAATTAACCATCTTATTAAACCAAATAAATTCACCATCACAAAAAATAAAACTAAATCCTACCAAAATCTAATTTCATCACTCCATGAATTAATAAATAATAATTATTGTATTTGGTTCGTCCTCCTATATAATATATCTTGACATCACATTCGCCGCCTTCTCTCCTCCTCAGGCCCTAATTCAAAAGGGGCAGCCCAAAAAGAAAAAGAAAAAAGAAAAAAAAAATGTCAAATAGAATTGAAAATGAAGAGACAACAAATAGAGTACCCTTGTTAGAATACACTCCGTCGGCGAATAAATTGGTCGGATTCGAAGAAAACGAGGATGACCGCAAAAGAGGCTTACCCCTTCGGATTTGGATCGAGACGAAGAAGCTATGGCGCGTGGTGGGCCCCGCCATCGTCAGCCGCATCGCCTCCTATTCCATGTTCGTCGTCACTCAGGCCTTTGCCGGCCACCTCGGCGACCTCGAACTCGCCGCCATGTCCATCGCCTGCAACGTCATCATGGGCTTCGATTTCGGCCTCATGGTAATTAATAAAAAATTAATTAATTAATTAATTCTTTATTAATTATTATTTTTTTTAGTTGGGGATGGCGAGTGCGTTAGAGACTCTCTGCGGTCAGGCGTACGGAGCGAAAAAGTACTATATGCTGGGGGTGTACCTTCAGCGTTCGTGGATTGTACTTTCCGCGTGCTGCCTAGTGATGCTTCCCGCGCTGATATTCGCGAGCCCGATACTGAAGCTGGTGGGGCAGCCGGCTGACGTGGCGGAGCTGTCGGGTGAGGTGGCGCTGTGCTTCATCCCGCTACACTTCAGCTTCGCGCTACAGTTCCCGCTGCAGAGGTTTCTACAGAGCCAGCTGAAGAACAGCGTGATTATGTGGATCAACTTGGCGGCTATTGGAATTCACCTGCTTCTCAGCTGGCTCGTGGTACATCGGCTCCAGCTGGGAATTATTGGGACGGCGCTCACGCTCAACTTCTCTTGGTGGGTGGTGGTATTGGGTCTGCTGCTGTACACCGTATGCGGTGGGTGCCCGCTGACGTGGACGGGCTTTTCACGCGAGGCCTTTGCGGGTCTATGGGATTTTCTCAAGCTCTCTGCCTCCTCCGGCGTTATGCTATGGTATAATTGTTATTATTATATTATTATATATATATATATATATTTTTTTTGTTTTGTTTCAGCAAACTTGCAATTGTGGTTCTATTAAATTATAACGGCAGCAAGTTAAGTTGACATGTACTAGCATTTTTAAATTATGTAATTTGAAATTTTGCCTACAGTTTCATTGCGTTGAAATTGGAATTAAAATATTCGAGCAATTTTGATAGACAAAGGATTGAAATTGCAGCAAAAGTTTAAATTACAGAACTTAGAATGCTAATAAAAAAATATAAATTAAGAATTTTAAATCAGATTGAAATTGGAGCAAAATTTTAAATTACACAACTTAAATCTCGTTACCTTCATTATCTAATTGGTTTATGCAATTTTGGTCCAATGAATTTTTTTTTTTCTGCAATTGTAGCTGTCTGAGTTTGAAACTGGTGCAGGTTTGGTCACGAGCGGCTACTTCACTAATTCACAAAATGCTACAGCTAGGATTCTGGCACAATTATTTTCATCTATTTTTGAATGGAGATCTATTAATGGAGAAAATTATGTTCCTGATGCTTAATTATACTTGGCTTTTCACTTTTAATATCCATATATCTTTTTACTTAATCAATTTCACATTTCGTTAACCACTCAATTTGGATCTGAATCGCTAGAACTTGGGTATCAAAAATTGTGGAATCAAATTAAGTAGTAAAAGGGTTACAGCCAATGATCAAATATGAGCCATTTGTTGTATAAGATTGTGAACTCATGTGTCGTGTGGTACAGTTTTACGAACAAAGTCTGAATTTATGTCACTTTCTTATTATTTTTTCCTTGATTAGGAAATGCATGTACACTTTTACTGAATTATTTTATTATTTTTTATTCTCTTTTGAATGGAACAGCTTAGAGAATTGGTACTACAGAATTCTTATCGTGATGACGGGAAATCTCAAAAACGCAGAAATTGCAGTTGATGCCTTGTCCATATGGTATATACACTCTCTCTCTCTTTATAATCTTTTTTATCAGATCAATCATCGAATCCATTATAAACAATTAAAACTATAGCATTTAATAGTATAAATATATATTTTTATTAAAAGTGTAATAGGGTAGACTGATCTAACGATGGCAGATTCATACAAGAATTATTGATATATTAAATCTGCGTATTAATTAAAGGTATATATGCCTATTTGCATCATTTAACTGTGGGCTTGATTGCATCCAAAATACAGGATATATTAAAATAGTCTAGCCACACAATTAACCAACAAATATGCTATTTCACTATTTGATGCAACAATATTAAAAAACATGCAAGTACGAATTATAAATACGTTTGGTTTGGAAATTATGGATCGTAAATTGCCGTCCTCAACATGGCCACAAACTCTTGATTTATAGCTTATTTTATTATACGTAAAAGTTAATCTCGTCATTATCTGTTTCACATTTCTGTTTGTTGTGTGGACTAATAATTGCTACTTTCATGTGGGCCAATGAAAATTTTAATCATTGAGGAACTGTCATTTTCTGTGTGGCCATTCTGTAACTCTGTTCAATTGTTTATATCGTCATCATAAGTTTTGTAAGGTTTGGCTTTAAATATTTTTGGTGGTTTGTATATATGTATGTATATATAAAATGCAGCATGAGCATCAATGGCTGGGAAATGATGATTCCTTTCGCATTTTTCGCGGGAACTGGGTAAACTTCCATTCCTCTATCTCAATTAATTAATTTCTGCATACTTATAAACTAAAATAAATGGAATTTCGTATCATCAAAATAATTTAATTATATTAGATTTGCATTAGGAGAAGGGGTGACTGGATATGAATTTGATTTAGTTTTGATTGATTTTTTTTGTTACTTATAGTTAATTTTTTTTTTTAGAAGTATTATTGTTAGTTGTTAGTGAGATTTTGAGTTTGTACTAAAATAATACTTAGAATAAAATAATTAAAGCTGATTTGAAGTAAAAGTATGATAGAAATGATGTGTAAATATGAATTTATCTATGTAATAATAATAGTCCTCAATTATGTCTAACAATTGGTCTACTAACTTGTTTTAGCTGCCCCTTTTGACCTCTAAATTTGACAGAGTAAGGGTGGCAAATGAATTAGGAGCAGGAAATGGAAAAGGGGCGAAGTTTGCAACAATTGTATCCGTGACAGAATCTATAGCGATTGGCCTAATATTTTGGGTGCTCATAATTTTTTTACATAACGAACTTGCTCTAATTTACACCTCAAGCCAAATTGTACTTGAAGCTGTTAGCAAACTCTCTGTACTCTTAGCTTTCACAGTTTTACTCAACAGTGTTCAACCAATCCTTTCAGGTGATTTAATTCTCTTACATTCTTAACAATTTGAAATTCCTTTATTTATTTTTCCAAAATTAATGAATTATG